CCTCAACAAAGGCACAAAGTTTTGAAATTAATAGTTGGGAACGCCTTTTAATGCATAATACAAACTGTACAAAGTATCCGGTTAAATTATAGTAAAAAAAAATTTGATACAGCTACGTCTGTAAATGGAACATTTTTTGTCACTGTGAAAGCACTAATCTTAAAAATTATTTGGCTGACTCAAGAAGTAGGTTTCACCAGGGAACTATATATCTGTGAGAACATTGCCATTGTTTCCCAATCACCTTCCAGAAGAGAGAGAAATGGAATGCTAATACCAAGAAACACAGCATCATCTAAAATCATTTTTGGTTTTATGTGATAATCTATTGACCTGTCTTAAGTCATGAACCTTAACAAATGAACGTAACAAGGAAAAATATGCACTCTTTCTACAAACCGACCTGTAAAATGTTTTGCAAACAGCAGGTGGCAATCTTTGTAAATCTGATCGCAGCTGTTCTGTTTTTCCTATGCAGATGAGATTGCAGTTGTGGACAGTTAACAAGCTTCATATGCTAGAACTGGTTCAGATACCTTCAACTATTAAGAGGGTCTTGCTTAATCATGCTTTACTGTTCTAATGAAATTTCTCCTTTGGCAAAACAAATGTTTTTGTTTAAAGCTTGTTAATTCTCATGCAGTGCAGGGATTTCATTGTTAATCTGCCTAGGCATCCTTCATAGCAGAGTGCTGCATGCTATTTGTCTCTTATCATTCCGAATTCACATGGCCTGAAGAATTACCAAAATTAATTTTAGATCTCGAGCCAACAGAAGACCTGCTGACAAACTGCAAAACGTGAAATTCATTTCTGGGCCAGAGAGATGGATCCCTATGTAAAATGTGTTTGCTGTCTTGCCTGATGACCTCCTAGTACCTACAAGCAGGAAGGAGGGAACTGACTCCCCCAAATTGTCCCCTGACCTCTACATGTGAGTTGTGGCAGGCCTCCACACTCACCCCAATAACATAAGAAAATGCAATATGAGTAAAAATAAAGACTCTAGTTTCTGATGTGATTATTAGTATTGAAATGAAAAAGTACTTTTAGCATTTTAGTTATGGAGAAACACAATGTTTTGACTACTGGGTAACTCTTAGAATACTTGCATTTTTAAACTGAGGTCATCGTCATTTTAGATACAAATCATTAATTTCTACACTGCAAAGAAACACCAAAAACCCGTGACCAGAACAGGGAGATCAGGAAACTTTTCCATTGTTGCTTGTCTTGCTGTTGTAACAAAAGGCCCTGGCAAAGGTAATATAAGGAATAGCGGGTTTTCAGCTCATCTTGGTAGCTGTCATGTTACATTTATAATCAAGAAGCATGGAGGGAGTGTGTGGTCAGTGTCCTTTCTTCTTTTTATTAGGTCAGGCAGGTAAAGTGGATCTTCCCACCCCAAATAATCTACTGTAGTTGGTTGTTTTTACTCTTTGCCCTCTGGAGGGCCTGCCACCCAGCTCCCAAATAAATCCACAGAGTCTTTTTCTTACCTATGAATGGCCAGCCTTAGCTTGGCTTATTTTTAGGCAGCTTTTCTTAAATTATCCCATCTATCCTTTGCCTCCTGGCTTTTACCTTTTTCTATTTCTATATACCTTTTTTTCCTTCTTACTCCGTGTTTGGCTGGGTGTCTGGCCCCTGGCATCCTCCACTCCTTTCCTCATTCCTTGATCTTTCTTCCCAGATTTCTCTTCTTTTTTATTCTCTCTTCCTGCCAGCCCCACCTATTTCTCTCTCCTGCCTTGCTATTGGCCATTCAGCTCTTTATTAGACCAATCAGGTGTTTTAGACAGACAAAGTAGCACAGCTTCACAGAGTTAAACAAATGCAACATAAAAGAATGCAATACATCTTTGCATCATTAAGCAAATATTCCACAGTATAAACAAATGTGACATATCTTTAAGTAATATTCTACAACAATCTACTCTACAAAATTTCTCACAGACATGACCAGAGATTTGTCTCTGAGGTGATTCTTCTTCCTGTCTAGTTGACAAATACAAGTCATCACAAGCCTGCCATTTGTCACCTAGACACAGAACACACCACCTTTAATACATAACATCCACCTCCTGTCACAATAAGCTAATGACCATCTCATAATGCAAAATGCATTCAGTCCAACTTCAAAGGTTTCATAATTTTAAACAGTCCTAATATGTTCAAAATTACAAAGTCCAGGTGTCATTGGAGACTCAAGGCAACACATAATGGTGAGCACCTATAAAATAACGAAATACACACTTTCAAAACAATCTAGTAGGGAGAAGTATTCACATTATAAAGCAGAGAATGGAAGGATAGTATGGAACGATCAGGCAAACCAAGATGGAAACCCACAAGCTCAGACAATAAATCCTGCAGCTCTACTTAGGGAGTTCCAAAGGGCTTGAGCATCCCTGCCCTTCCAGCCCTGCTCCCTGTAGCAAACCTAGTCTCTCTCCTCCCTGCTTCATGTCTACAACCTTCTTTGCTGGAGGTCCCATGGTTCTGGCATCTCTGACCACCAGAGGGCTCCACTACAACACTGGCTTTACCATCACAGCTTCATGGAGTGGCATCTCAGGACCTCTTTGCAGGTAATCAGATTGACACACTGCCTGGGTTTATCAGCTCTCAGGCATCATGGCATAAGCCTCTGTGACTGCTCCAATCTTGCATCTTTTAAATTTCCTTAGCCAGTACAAAGTGAATCTGCCAAGTTTGGGTTGCCAGCTCAGGATAGCAACTGAGTACCTTGGAACACACATCAACTTTTGTGAGCTGATTCCAATGAAAATGTCCCAATCCAGGTGCTCTTAAAGAGCAGGAATCCTTTCAGTGACATTTTTAGTTTAGGCTTGCTCATTCAAATGAAACTGTATTTTAACTGGAAGGAGCCTTTGATGGGGAAAATCTTACACTCAGAGAACCTATGCTCTTGTCCCAATTTAGAATGCCAAGTCACTCTCCAGCGGCACTAATCTATTCAACAATTCAATGACAGAACTTTTGAACTTTTGACAGAATGTAGACAACTTTTTTTTTTGTTGTCTACATTCTTCTTATCATTATTTTTAAACTTGTCCATACACTTTTCATCATCTAAATACACGGTTCTGAATATCACTCTGCTTTACTTAAGAGTGTTTCATCATCATTATTATTATGTGTGTATGTCTGTGTATGCTTCCTGGGTAGCTCTCTCTCTCTCTCTCTCTCTCTCTCTCTCTCTCTCTCTCTCTCTCTCTCTCTGTGTGTGTGTGTGTGTGTGTGTGTGTGTGTGTATGTGTGCATGTGCATGAGTTTCTATGATGTATATATATGTAAGTGCAGTGACATGCATGCCATGGTGTGAGAAGCAGGTTCTCTCCTTCCACTGTGGGTCCTGTCATAGAATCTAAGTTGCCAGGCTTGGATAGAAAGCATTTTTATCCCTAGGACTCTCATTTAGTTTTGGCTTTCTCCCTGTGGACTTGAATGACTGCAGTAAGCAGGAGCAGTGCCCGGCCTGCTGAAGGCTATCCTGTCTGAAGTTCCTTCCAACAAACACATCTGTCTAATACATTTAGCCTCACTGTACTCACAGCACGGACACACTACAGCCAGATCATTGAACACATAGCCATGCAGAATATTATCCAATTTCTGCTGGTGCCCACGTTCACCTCCGAAACCTATGGGCAACGCTTCTACGGTGCACGTTTCTCTCCATCTTCTACTCTACTACGTTCACATCAGTGGGGCTCATGCTATGTTTACACTTTTGAAGGTTCTTCTAGGTAACAGATCAAAACCATTCCATATTTCTCCCACTAACCAGTTCCAAAGCCCTCAGAACTGCAAGGTCTGTTTCATGGTAACAATGATTTTACTTCTTTATACCAAATTTTTGCATTAGTTAATGAACACATTGCTGGGGCAGCATACTCTGACAAAAGCAATCTAAGAAAGAGTTTATTTCGACACACAGTGCAGCTACAGTTTGAGACAGCTGGTCACATTGTAAGCACAGTCAGGAAGCAGGGGGAGGTAAATGCTGGGGCTTGCTTTGCTTTCTCCTTTGTATCCTGTCCAGCACTCAGGGTGGGTCTTCCCACCTCTGTTAACCTAATAGATCTGATTTCTCACTGACATGCTCAGTCCAGACATCTGTCTCCCAAGTGACTCTACATCCATCCCAATTGCAGTCAACCCAAACCAACACACCTATGGGATAAACACAACAGGACATTCGCCTTCTCCGAGTTCATTTCACTGGGCAATTATAAGACCAAGTTATCACTCCCTTGCATGTTTGTGTCAATTTCACCTATGGTATCATCCTAAAATCGGGATTTTCACTTATTTATTGAGTTCTCAGTGTGTCACAATGACTTTAAGGAAAGAATCTAGTACTCTAAAGGAGTCTTTGCTAGAAATGATTCAAGTCTGGACAGTGTCTGTCTGGCCCATGTTATCATTTGTGCTTACATGCACACCACATTCATTAGCCACTACCTTTGATATTTTACCCATAGTGTTTCTTTGTATGACTGAAAATTGGACAAGAATGGGTAAATTGAGATGTCTAAGGTCATCCATCAAGGGGACATTAATCAGTCATAAAAATGAAAGCATATGAATTTCAACAATACCTTTTCATTTTATTCACTTAATACTTAAGCAAAGTATTAAGATTTAAGAACACCTTTGTATTCTCAATAAGAAAATTTCATAAAATAGTAGAAAGATATACTGTAATGATATAAATTATACCCAACCTAATTATTCTCCTTTGTGGATACTTTTTGACTATCATGTATTTCAATGTCATTTTACAACAAATAAATTAAAACTTACAGGACTATTCTTATATACCAAGAGAAGTTATCACATACTGTTTTAAAACAAGTGTATTGCCAGTTATTAGATTCAGTCTTCTAACCAAGGAAGTGCCATTCTCAACAGGACACACACACACACACACACACACACACACACAAACACACACCCCAGGTCCTTCTTACCTGGGCATCGCTGCTCACTGCACCGTCTTATTTCTTCACCTGTTCCTTCACACTGCTGTCCTGTTAAAGCTGCGCCCTGACAAGTCCTCACTCGCCTCTCCCAGCCTCCATCACAGGACTTGGAACATCCACTCCAGTGACCCCACTGATTCCACTGACCATTGGCTGAAAGAAACGGATCTTGCTTAACAGTAGTCGCAGCATGCACTGCTTTAGTAAAGGTGTAAGTCTGGAGATATTGAGATGCTTTCAGTTTTTATTAATCTGCTGTCAAGAATAAACATTGTCCAAATATTTGACTTACTGGTCAAACACCGTGCGTTTTGTGATTAGAACCATTAAATAAGTGTGTCTGACTCTTCAGATGCACAGGGAACTTACTTTTAAAAACTGTAAGCCTAGCGCTAAACTTCATTAACTTAGTTGTTATTCAATCTCAGAATCTCCAGATTTTTCTGACTGTAGTATTACAGTATGCAGTAGAAAAAACTAATATAGTTGGCTTTGTACATATGAATACATAATTAGCTTTCATTTTATGACTGTTTGGTATGGCGCTTTGAGGTTTTATGAACTGCAGGTGTCATTTGCACAGAGCAAGTGGCCTTACCTGTACATTCAGGGTTGTAGCACTCTCTGCTCTCCGCCCAGGGTCCTCTGCACTCGGAGCCTCCGTGAGCAGCCGCTGTGCATTGCCGGCTCCTCTGCTGTGTCCCATTGGAACACGTCACTGAGCAGTGGCTCCATGAACTCCATTCCTGCCACTGTCCATCAACTACCAAAGCAGAAACAGAGACAGCATGAGATGTCTCAGCGGGGAAAGGCTAGCCAGTGAGCACAAGGTAACAGCTGCCTGAAAGGTGAATCCCAGTCAAGGCTTCTGAATGTTTGTCATTGAAGATCATGAGATGTTATTACCCACTTTTTTGTTTCTACTTCATTTAATTATTTTTCATCATGATGGTTAGTTGCTATTATCAACTTGATGTTCTTTTGAATCATAATGGCAACAAATATTTGAACATGTCTGTGAGGTATTGTCTAGATTTGGTTAGCTAAGCTGAGAAGACCCACCTGTCATGTGATTAGCACCAACTTACTGACTGGGGTTCTAGACTGAGTGACAAGGAGAAGGGAAGCTGAGCAGTGTGTCCATTGCTTTGTTTCCTGACTGGATACAAGAAGCTGAGGCAACTCCTGTTCCTATCACCACTCCTCCCTGGCCTGATGGTTAGATCCCTTTGAATGTAAACCCTGCTTTCCTTAAGTTGACTTTGTTGGGTATTGAGTCACAGCAATAAGACCAGTTATAACTAGCATCCTAATCCCTAACATGTTGATTCATTGAAAATTTAAGACCTTGAGGTAGATTTCAGAATACAGAAACAGGATAATGTGACTGAGGGGGAAAACTGGCCAACACATCACACAGCTCATATTTTGGAAAAGCAGCTCCTAAAAACTAAACAACGAATGATATGCAAAAGAAATAAAAAGTTGTATAGTGTGCTGCACTGGGTAATTTAAGAGTACTGTGAGATATAGGTCCTGAGGGACTGGAACATCTTCCTTGACAAACTGATGTTCCAAATAATCAGTGAGGATAATGAGAAAAGAAATTGGGTAAGAGTTGTCTGCAAAAGGACATGCCAAAGTGCTTAACAGAATAAAGATGGACATTTCCTAGAACAAGATAAAAGCCATCAAGAAGAGAATCCAGAGATCTAAGTTCAGAGAGGCAGAAGACGTTGGTCAAAGGCAGCCAACTAAGTTTTGCAGTTGGGTTAATATTTTAAGCCACTGTTCTCAGGCCACGAAGAAAGCATTGAAGTATTTAAATGGAGAAGAAGCTGGTCAGAGGTAGTGAAGTGTTTGGAAAACAATTTTGGAAAATACAGGGGAGGGTCACGCCAGGATGACAGACAGTTGGAAAGATCTAGAAGCTACCAAGAGGTGGTGCTCAGAGAAACAAACGGAAGAATCTGGAAACAAAGCAGAGAAAGCATGTAGTAACTCCAAGGTATCTTGTGTCTGATGGCTGGAATGCAGGCCACTGCATTAGACTCATCTTTAGAGCTTCATTCACCTGCTCCTTCACTCAAATGATTTTGATAATCAGTTATCTGATCTGTGATTGGTGCTGATGAGAGAAATGAGAAGTTGAAGTTCCAACCCCAGATATCTTAAACATTATTGCATTTTGCATGGAAACAAGTCAATGGTCAAATGCAAGTGTGTTCTTCATGAGGTCCATGAGGTTTGCAGGGTGTCACAGGATCTTATCCATATAAGGGATAATTGCTAGGTGGTGGTATTTGACTAATTTATACAAAGGAGACAGAAATGACGAATGCTACAAAACACAGCAGAGGATTAAACCAAAAACACCTTATTAAAATGTACAAATTAGCATATGAATGTTATAAAAGCACTCATAGATGGCTGTCTACTTTTTCTAATACCACGCTATGGTTCTTAATGAGTTTGATTATGGCTAAAAGGGAATTTACAGTCAATCCCAAGTTCCACCAGAAGCTAATATTGCTGTGAAAATCCTTTCAGGCAAACCAGAGTCTGACAAAATGAGTAGGTAATTTCAAGGCTCATGTGTAGCAGCTATTAAATAGGGGTGTTGAATAGATATCTAGCTGTACTTAATAAACCCTGTGTGAGATTAAAAATCACAAAATGCTAATTTAATCATTCCATTCATGTAATTTTAGTGTCTTGTTTTATTAAAAGTACCTGATACAATCTTATCTGGCCATGTAGTACACTTGCCAGACAAAACGAAAGTTCTCGTAAATCAATGGGACATTACAAATTATCAATGTATCCTCTGTTTTTGGCTTTCAGGCCAAATGTAGTTTTCACTTTGGATTTGCTTTTAAAAGAAAGAACATCCAGAATTTCCATTATGAACTTTTGCTATTCCAAGCAATTTGAGAATGCCTTGAAAAATTCAGATTCATGATATGTACTTTGCATTCTATTTGATAAAGGAGTGTACAGGTCCATACCTGACTTTCAATATCAAAAGCAAACCAATGTGGTCATATATTGTGTATCCTAATAAACTTGTCAGAGAATCAGAGGATGGAGTCAGCCACTAGATTAGACACAGAGGCCATACAGTGGTGGCACACACTTTAATCCTATTGCTCAGGAGGCAGAGATCTGTCTGGATCTCTGTGAGGTAAAGGCCATACTGGGCTACATGAGAGAAACAGAACCAGGCAGTGATGACATATGCCTTTAATCCCCGGAAGTAATATGGTAGAACACAGGAAGGTATATAAGGCATGAGGAGACAGGAACTCACTCTCTTGAGGCTGAGGATTTCATAGAGGTAAGCTAGTGGCTGGCTGCCCTGCTTCTCTGATCTTTCAGTTTTGACCTCAATATCTAGCTCTGAGTTTTTTTTTTTTTTTTTTTTTTTTTTTTTTTTTTTTTTTTTTTATAATAAGGCCATTTAAGATTCAAACAAAATCTGGCACCCAATATGGGACACGAATTCTTCACATGAGGACTCAGAGACTTTCAGTGTGAGGAAATAGTCCGAAGAGTTGGTGAGGTGAGGTTGGCTATGGCTTGCTCTGCTTCTCTGATCCTTGGGCAAGCTTTATTGGGGTACACAATATATCACCACAAAACAAGTGGAGATAAATTTGATGATGGCAATTGAATTAAGGTAAGAGAAGACTGGGTTGTTTGGCATCATCAGAGGTTCTGATTTAGGATAGTTTTAAGCATGTTTCATCATGACTATTATAGTAATACACCCCTGACTAAACAGCAAGAGCAAGAAAAACACAACAAAGCAAAGCAAAATATAAAACACACACACACACACACACACACACACACACACACACACACACACACACCAAGCATTCAGCTAAGAAAATATGGAAATAAGAATAAGCAAGTCAAATTTGATCATGAGAGAGAAGATAATCTGACTGTGATTTTATTTCTATAAAAAGTTAAAAAAAAAAAGATCTTGTGGGAAAAGGATTAGGGAAAATGACAATCTGTTGACTTATTAGGATTCTCCTCATAGAAGATGTCTTGCTATCAATTTAAAAATAAACACCTCAATTTCATATATTCATGTGAGTTGTTCCCTACTTTCTAATGGTGTAAATATTTTTGGGTTTACATAATATTCAAGGATGAGTTAATATTAGAAACTTGAGGGACATTTTGAGGTTAAACATTGTCAAAACATCCATAAATACATATTTGAGATGTGACTAGTTTCGTTTACAAAATCAGTTACAACAAAAAATAATGAAATTGAAGATCTATCAATCACCTGGACTTTTATTTCTGTTTTATTTTATTCTATTAATTAGAAGGTCATTTTATTGAATATTAGTTGAGTTGTTCTGAAATGATTGACTTGATAAAGTAACTTGCTATATTTAAAAAAAAAGAAAAATTAATGCAAAATCCAGGACAAAAATCCCAATGTGCATTCTTTTAGTGTGTTGGCTACACTATTATATAAGCAGAAATAGAGGAATGAGAAAAGATCCACAGATGTTACAGATACACATGGATTTCCTTAGTGCCAGAGTGAGGTCTCGCCATATTATAATGTTTTCTGTTGTTTGATTTTAGTTTCATAGAATGTCATGGGATTTAAAAGATATTTACTACTATGTTCTCCTAAGGATCTCTGCTCCTAAGCATTTCAGGAACTGGTAGTCTCATTTTATTGAATGGGAAACAATGGATCATGAGTCTGGGAAGTAGAAGTTAAATTTTCTTTTAGACTTCTAAGCAGCCTAAATAGAGAATGCACACTCTCTTTCAGGGGTAAATGTTGGGATATTTAAGCTATCCCAAAAGCTAAAAGCCAATTATTAAGATACAGGGTTCTATTGATTTGAAAACAATATTCTTCTTGGTACTAGAGAAAAAAATGGATAACTCTGTTATCTGAAGTTTAACTGGGGAGACAAGTGGAAAAGCAATTGATTCCCTTTCAACACCCCTGCTGGGTTTGTACTTGACCTGCTCTAGTAGAAGACAGCAGACAGGCAAAGTCTCCTCTTCCCTAGAATCAGTTCAATGAATTCTGTGAGCTTGTCACACAGATAAGATGAATCTCACAGAGTCACGGCAACCTAAGAAATTTGAATAGAGCACAATGATCTGTTCTCTTATGAAACTATTTCTGCTGAACTCTGATTCATATCTTGGTATTCTGTCATGAAAATTGTTCCCTGGTTAGCCAGTAAAATGGAAAACTCCAAAACCTTAAAGGAAGCTCATAATGCACTCTTAACTGAAGGGTTCCAGAAAATTTATGGTGTCACTGGTCACTCTTCAGGACCATGGGAGGGATGTTTTGACTAAGATCAATCAAGCTCTACTTGGCTATGAAAAATATACATATATGGATGAGGATGAATTTAATCTTAGAGTTACAAAAACAAAATGATCAACTGAACAACACTATGGGGAATCCCCTATCAGTTCTCTTGGAAGACAGTATAATGGCAGACTGTCATCACTCTAAGGAGGCAACATGCAAAGTCTACTGTAATTCCATGTAACTGGAAACTCTGGTGGCCAGGAAAATGTCTGTCAGAAAAAGAGAGAAAGTTAAGGCATATGAAGAGATCATGAGACCAGAAAGTACAGAACATAGTTTCAGCTGATGTATAGCAGCCAGAAATCAACAGGATACCAAAGGCCATGAGACCAAGGAAGATGTGTAGCTATGAGAGAATATGCAAGTAGGTACCTGAAATAATTTTCATT